TGGAAGCTGTTTTTCTGCAAAAAAAATGAATTATCAACCTTTCGTTTGAGTTCTTGTGAATACACCTTCTGCGCTTCTTTTTTCTCGGCGTCCAGCCTCAAAACGTGCAAAAGCTTCTCGAAATTCGTAATACCTATAAGAAATTGCTACAGGGCTGTCTCCAGTCAAATCAGAACTATGTCTGAGAAAAAAAATGTTGGAATTACCTTTGTGGTGGTAATATCTTACTGATATACTTGTCGATATGCTCTTTTACCAAGTCCTCATCTGCACCCTGCCGTCGCGCTTCTGTCACGAGTTCATGAAGAGTCTGCTGAAAAGAGAAAGAAATCTTTAAGACAAAAATGAAGTAAGATGCCATCTTACTTGCTGATCATCGGTTAGAAACGTTGCATAGGGCGACATTGGACATCCTCGCTTCGCTCGTGTTGAAGTTCCAGCGGAGGATTGAAGGCAGTCTGTTCTAGCTACTGCTAAGCCGAATAAAGTGATTTGTAACAGAAATATAATTGCAGGAAGTGAACTGACTGGCAGTTGGAGCATTTGTTCTAGATAAATTTGATTTAAATATGTTGTCTTCAATAACAGAATTTAGACCAAGGGTTGTTCATGGTGAAGAGAATCAGCAGTCAAAGTTGTAGAAGCTCACTAAGCTATAAACAAGCTGAGGGAATTTTACAAATTACAGTTTTTAAACTTCTCTCTTAGAAACACCCAAATCAGCATAATTCCCAAGGTTTATGACTACAGTTGAAGTTTCATAGCAAATTCTACCCTATATAAGGTGTAAGTGTATATTTCGCTAAAACTCTCACGAATTTTCTTAAAATTAACCTACTTATACTTTTATTTCGTATATTCAGCTGCATCATTTAGAAGTCACAATAGTGCGATAAAAAAATGCATGTACGATCGACACAATGTCAGGATGTAATCTGCATATAGTAAGAGACATACGAATTAGGCATTCGAGCAAACCTAGCTTCTTTTACCGGCAAGGATGGACAAATCAGGACATATATATATGGTAAACATAGAGTAGTCAAATTTAGGTTTAGTAACAACTCCATTTAAGTTTGAGGTGTCAAAAATAATTGCACTTTTATTTAACTTAAAAGAACTTCCTATTGTAGTCTAAAAGTAAGGATTCTATGACCATACAATAAATCCTAGGTTAAAATTATAACCTAATGAGAGACCAAGCACCAGCACTTTACGTGTAATGTCGTAGTTGAACATTGAAAATCTCTGCACAACGTTTAAATACTGAATTTCTTGCGTTGCAGCAAACATTGAGGCTTGTTATGATTGTTTACCTAGAATTGGCTGGTCAAGCGTTTTTTCATCTAAATGCACCGTTTATTCAGTTGACGTAAGAAGCAGGAACTGCAGAGTTTTTTATTGGACTGGGTGTTTTTTGAAACTCAATGTGTGGAAGCGTTGGATTTTGCGGAAAACTCCATGAAGTAGATTTGAGGATTTTGCGAAAAATCTTCCCACTGCAGATTGGGTAAGGACATTCTAAGAAATCAAAGTAGTATAGCGTTGTAGCCTGAACTGTTTTGAAGTCATTCCTTAGGAATTGAAATTTTCAAGAAGAAGAGAAAAGGGGTATAAACCAAATTACGTAATAGA